TGTGCACGCCGCAGCCGCCGGTGCTATGCGCTGGCTTCGAGGGGAGTGTTCTCTCGGGGGTGGCGAAGGGCTTGTTCGAGTGGGGCGCGAAGAAGGAGAAGGGCAACCAAGACGAGGGCCCCGGCGAGGGCGGTGAGGGCGGCGAGGGCAAGGAGACGGGGGGCGAGGAGAAGGATGGCGCAGCCGCAGGGTGCGCCGAGGGCGCCCCGCTTCTCACAGAGCAGGACGAGAGCACAAAGACGCCGGGCCTCTTCCTCGTCGGGCCGGCCGTGAGGCACGACGGAACGACCGCGACATACGCCTCATCGCCCGGCCGGAGAGACGCGACGCTCTGTTTGTGCGCTTCCTCCACCGTCAGTGCCTCTGTCGTGCTCTTCGAGGGGCCGAGATTGAGGTGTGAAGGCTGCAGTGGTGCAGACCCTGCCGGTGAGGTTCGAGCCGGCGGTGCTTTGCTGGCCGTGCCCCGACCGGGTGAGCTCATCGGCGACGGGTTGAGGCTCTCACTTGGGCTTGTGGTGGGCGACGTTGCCGCCGTACGTGTCTCTAGCTTGGCGGTGCCAGCCTTCTTTCGCCCGAAAAGCCCCATATGTTTTGGCCGATCTGCCCGCTGCAGGGGGTTCGCGGCCAGAAGTGAAACGTCCGGCTTGATTGAAATCACGTCGTTCATCTCACTCAACGTGATCTGTGATAAGGGGGCCGCCCACAGGCGCATTTTGTATACCGAGGCGGTGCCCGGTGCCGAACCTGTCGGACCTTAAGACAGCGTTGTAGATCCCTGGGCGAGGGTGGTGGAGGTCAACGTGCTCATCACTGGCTCATCACACCTCATCAGTGACATATCATATTCATATCACGCCAGCACCACGCCGCCCCGGGTGTGCGGTGAGCTTGCTGGCTTAACTCCAATAGTGCTCAAAGTGCCGTAAAAAGCAATGTGAAGTTTGAAACCTCCTCTTTCCAGTTTCGCCTGGGCCTGCCTGGAAGACGCTCCGGCGCCTAACTCTA